GACTTTGTCTCCAAAATAAAGAAAGTGTACTACTAAGTACCAGAATATATAACATTACAAGGAGATAAAGTGTTTTAAAAGGAGTCTCAGAGACACTGGCACAACACATTCATTATAATTGAATTAGTTCTGCCTGCTTGACAAAGGGAATATTTATCTCCCAACCTATGCCAGGGGTCCTCCAACTGTAATATCTACTAGAAACATCAGATTTTATGGTTTTTAAAAGATGTTGGAGATCTTTTTTTTTTTTCTTTCTGTTTTTTAGAAACAGTGTATGGGTCAGGGCCAGGGATTTAGCTCAGCGGTTCGGTGGCCTGCCTTGCAAGTGCAAGGACCCGAGTTCAATCCCTGGTACCCCCCGAGAAAAGAAACAGTGTATGGGTCAAACAAAAGCAGTCTGCTCTGGTTTCTTAACCTGTTCTTGAGGCTCTAAGCAGTAGAGAATATATTGGCCTTAATATTACTATTTTTCTCCCTCAGAATACCCTTTGTATGTCTGGTGGATAGATTTGCAATAATGTTTTTCCAGTTTCATCAGAAGAAACATGAGGGGACATATGTCCTTACCAAGACTGTGTTTAGATTATCACAGAATAAATAGGTTACCTACAGCAAAGCCATGAGTCTAGATAAATATAGAGCAGAAGCAAGCATCTAGCTAGGATACTGCATAGCAGCATGTGCTTTATGCTACTTTTATTGTTACTCCTCAGAGCTTAAAAAAATCTTATATGTTCATCACTCATTTTACCTTTAAAAGCTATGTCTTAGTTACTTTTCTCTCATTAATTACTTTTCTCTTGTAGCTGTGACAAAATACCCAAAGTTAAAAGGGGGAAAAATTTATTTGGCTTACAGTTCAAGGAGATTTTAGTCCATAATCAGCTGGCCCCAAGGCAGGGTGGCAGAGGGCAACAGTTCATAGTGGACAGACAGTAGCAAAGCAACAAGGGGCCTTAACAGTGTCTTTCTGTTCTTTATATTTTATTCAGACTACTTAGGACAGGTAGCACTCACGCCCTTAATCCTAGTGCCCTTGGTCCTAGCCCTACCATGAATCAGTCACACACTATAGATTCAGCCACTTCTGAAAAAACATGAGGCTTTGGGGGATATCTAAACACAAGATGTAACAGACTATATTTACTTGTGACTTGAGCAACTCATGTTACATGCTTTATATTTATTTACATTTCTGATTTGCCTGTTTCTAACTAAACTAAGTTTTATACAATAGCTGATTGTCTTTGTAAAACAAGACATGTTTGTGCATGTATCAGAATATTTTATTGCATTTTACCTTTACTTTGTGTAAATTACTGAAAATGGAAAAATGAAAGTGTGGATATTAGTAATAATGAAATATATAAGTGTCAGACTCCTTCTTAATATGAAAAATTTCAAACATACACACAAATAAAGAGGCAAGTATGAGTCCCTGTACCCATCACCAAACTTTAGCAATTATAAACATTTTGCCAGTCTTATTATGTCCTTTATATATTTTATCAAGTTTTATTTATTTTTTTATTTGGTTTTTTTGAGACAGGATCTCACTATGTAGCTGAGTCTGACCTGGAACTCACTGTGTAGCCCAGGCTGGTCTCAAACTCTCAGCGATGCTCTTGCCCCAGCCTCCCAAGTGCTGGGATTGCAGGCTTGTGCCACCATGCCCAGCTGTTTTATCAAGTTTGATACTCAGATCTATGAGGTGGATATTATCTCTCCCCAATTTTTATTATGAAAAATTTCAAGCAATAATAGAGTAATGTTGAGTCCCTATATATAAGTCCCCTGCTTCAATACTTACCAACACATGTCCCAACTTATATCATCTGTGAGAGCTTCTTTCACTCCACCACCAAAAACCCCGTGAATATTTTGAACTAGAATTTTAAGATCATGTTATTTTGGCTGTAATTATTTTTGTATGTATCTCTACAAAGTAAGTATTCTTTTAAAAGCAATTACCATTATCACATCTTTTTTTTGGGGGGGCGGGGGTTTGGGATAGGGTCTCACTATGTAGTTGAGACTGACCTGGAACTCACTATGTAGTCCAGGCTGGACTCAACTCACAGCGATCCTCCTGTCTCAGCCTCCCAAGTGCTGGGATTACAGGCGTGAGCCACCACACCCGGCTTCTATTATCACATCTTTAAAAATAATCTCTTTATATTGTCAAGTGTTCCTGTTTCCTTAATTGTATCATAAATTGGTCTTTGGATTTTGTCCATGCCCCATGGTATGGTCTGCTTGAAAAAATATGTAAACAGAGTCAACTATTACATTTTGAGTGATCTTTTTAAGCCTCATTTTACCTCTCTCACTTTGCCCCTTTTCCTTTAGCAATTTATTCTGCTCTTTTAAACAACTTTTATTTAGAGATAATTTATTGTAATATAAAATTCATCTAAAGTAAATGTACAGTTTAATGAATTTTTGGTAATTTTTTTTAGATTTGATTCCTTCACACATGTTTCAGTTTTAGATTTCTTTACCCCTCTAAGAGAGGTAAGAGGGATAAATTGCTCATTTGCAGTTAATTCCACTCTTTTCTTTTTTTTAACCCCTAGTACAGGGGGTTGAACTCAGGACCTTGTACTTGTGAGGCAGGCTCAGCACCGCTAAGCCAAATCCCCAGCCCAATTTCACTCTTAGCTTCAGCCTCAGGCAACCATTGATTGGCTTTCTGACTTTGTAGATTTACCTTTTCTGGAAACTTCATATAAATGGAATCATGCTGTATAGTCCTTTACTGTCTACTTTCTGTGTTTGAGATTCATCCATGGTGCAGTACATGCCACTAATTCATTTTTTTTGCCAAATAATACACCATTGTAATGCTATACCAAATTATATTTATCCATTTGTCAGTTAATGGACATTTGGGTTGTTTCCAGTTTGGGGCTATTAAGAATAATGTTGCTGTGAGGGCCAGGGATTTTAGCTCAGCGGTTCGGTGGCCTGCCTTGCAAGTGCAAGGACCCGAGTTCAATCCCCAGTACCAAAAAAAAAAAAAAACTTTAGTAACTGTTGTAATAGAAAATGCCATCTTTCAAAGCTGCTTCACACGTTCCGCTAACTGTCAGAGTGTTAATACCATCACAAATCCCAGAGCCCCTGGAAACCCACTGTACACTTGGGACAGAAGGCGAGAGACAAAGGCAAAACACGTCTTACTGCTATCATGAAAATAGGCTAACCTTTTTGATTCCTGAAAAGGTCTGAGTCCTCAATGCTGCCTGAACCACACCTTGAGAACTGTAGATTTAATACATCCCTTCAAGGGTTCTCAAGCAACTATTTGTCCCAGGGAAGGAGAATTTGGTAGCTGAAAGACTGCAGAGTAGAGTGGAGGCTCATTTTCAGATTCCTTTGGAATATTTTGCTTTCTTAGTTAATTACCATTTTTCAAAGAGGGGATTATTAAGTAAAGCCCTTATCTTCTTTCCAGCAAAATGTACTTAAAGTAATACATGAAACAATTATTTTATTTTAGACGAATACATAAGAGCGGAGAACCTAAAGAGATTAGACTAAATTAGGTTGCTACTGTCGTTAACTTATTGCCCCTTAATTCTTTTTTTAACAGCACCTCAATTTACAACTGCATGATATTTTTATTCTCCCCCTTCCCCAAATATGTATTTTTCTCTTTTTCACCTGTTTTCTTCCGCATTAGACTGTTAGCTCCCTGAGGGCACAAATCAAACCTGTCACTATTCTCCCCCCCACCCCCACCCCCCGTCACTATTCTTAATTCAGTACTTAGTTACTGTAGTACTTGGTTCATAATAACAGCACATTCCTCCTCCCCTCCTTCCTTCTTTCTCCTTTCGCCTTTCTACTATGCTGTGTAGCCCAGGCTGGCCTTGAACTCACGGTTATCCTCCTGCCTCAGCTTTCCGAGTGCTGGGATTACAGGCGTGCACAGCAGTGGGCAGTTCCTAATAACTTCTGATATTGAGTGGATGAATGAATGAGGATAGTTTTGGGAACTTGGGCCAGTTTCCCATTGGTCAGTGTTGCGCAGTTCTAGACAGTTGCCAGTAGACAGATGTCTTGTCCAGACACTTTGTTTTGCATGGGTAAAATGCTTTGGGCATTTGTTCTAGTTCCTTACCAGTTGTGTACTAGATGGACAGTAAATACCATTAAGCAGTTTAGGAGGTGAGCATCTCATCAGGGGATCACAGAATGGTTCTTTTGTGCTCAGACTTTCATATGTGAAGTCTTTTTGCTATTTTTAAGATTTTCTGTTCATTTTTTGTTATATTTTTCTCTGAATAAAAATAGCTCCCCCCAAAAAAGACCTCATTGGCTTTGTCAAGCCTGACTCCCAGGGTCAGAATAAAGAGAATTATACCAAACACGTCTTGTGCCTGAATGAACTTGGCCAAGCACTTACATGTTCCCCTGTTGTGGTTCTCTTAGTAACATGGCACTGGATTGCAGAAGGCAAGTAAGTTGGTTTCTGAGCCAGCAGTTTGCTTACAAACTGCAAGACTGGCCATTGCCACAAGATCTGTCACCGCCTTATAACAAAACCTCAGCTGGAACTCTTGCTGCAACCATTGAGGTCCATTCAGAGCCTCTTGCCTTTCCCTCTGGTTCTATGTAGTAGCATTATTCAAAAAATAAATAACATTTGTTCTGTATAAAACAGGCCTGTGGGGCAGAAAGCTTGTGGTCCTAAGTAGGAGGACTACAAATTCATAATAAAGTAATTCTTTTTCTTGTTAAAAAAAACCAAAAACAGCACTAGTGTAAGTTTGCTTGTGTGCATGAAAGACTAAAGAGCAGGTGTTAGTATTTTCTGCAAGGTACCTTAGCTCACAGCTTGTGTTGTAGGTTAAGATTGGCTGCTTTTTTGTTGTTGTTATTGTGCCATATATATGAGCTATAATGAGCATATTTCTTTTTCTTGTTTTTTTTTTTTTTTTTAACCTGGATAGGCTACCACAAGCCTAGCAAGTCTACAACTGCAGTTGTGGGTAGGATGTACTGTTCCTGGAGGTATTGCAGTACCAGGTTGAAACAGAGTGGGTGGAGCAAGCTCCCATTCCATCTCCCAGCTCCAAAATCCATTTAATATGTTGTCCTTGTATAGAGGACCTATCAGATACTAAACTGATAAGAATAGGTTCTATACCACCACCTGCCTCGCAAGCGCAAGGACCTGAGTTTGAGCCCCAGTACCAAAAAAAAAAAGAGAACAACAGATGCTACCCTTAAAATTAGCCAAAAGTCTGAGAAGCCCAAACCCCAACCCTAACCCAAAAGACTGTTCCAGATAGTCCAGTACGTAGGGCTATCATGCTCAGAAGAAAATGGGAGTTTGACAGTTCAAAAGAGGATCATTCTGAGAGCTGGGGACTGTGACATACTACACCTGTAATCACAGCACTCAGGAGGAGGGCTGCAAGTTTGAAGCCAGCCTGGGCTACATAGTGAGTTCGAGGCATCTCGAACTAAATAGCAAGACTTGGTTTTAAAAAACAAAAAAAGAGGAGGGGGTGAAGGGAGGGCAGGGACAAGGGAAAAAAAATGAGAACCAAGACTTGTCATGTAGAGGTACAAGATCCCAACAATGAATGTAACTGTGTTGTATCCCTAAAATGTACCAATAAACTCAATTAAAGCTGAAAAAAAAAAGCAACAACAAAAAAAGAGGGCTGTGGAGGTAGCTCAGCGGTGCAGCACCTACCTGCCAAATGCAAGGTCCTGAGTTTGATCCCTGGTACTGGAAAAAAAAAAGGTGGGGGGAAGGAAGGAAGGAGAGAGGAGCTCTCTATTTTGAATTGCACTCTGCTGGTCTTTTAGGACAGTGTTGAGATCCATGATCCTAGAGTTGGAGCCTGGTCCTGTCTCTCTACCTAGTATAAAATGCTGCACTGTAGACTTTACACAAAATCGTGTTCTACCTTTTAGCATGAAGGATTCTTTTACTTTGCCTTGAAGCTTGAAGTACAGGCCTATATATTTTATTTATTTGTTTGTTTGTTTGTTTGTTTCCTGGTACCAGGGATTGAACTAAGGATTTTGAGCTTGCCAGGTCCTTGGCCTAATACAGGCCTATAGTTCAGGCAGTGGAAACAGGAGATGACAGTACAGGCCCAATACTGTCCCATCTGACTAATCTTTCCTAATTGGTATAGATCATACAGTATGGGAACTAGCAAGTGTTCAATGGTAGCATAATCACATGAAGGAACAAATAACTACATTGAATTCTTGGGTTTTTCTTGTTCTTCATTTTATACATATAACCCTCGAGAGACATGGGAATTATGGTCAAGATAGTCTCTTTGTCTTGTTTTTTTAGGGTCTTACTTCCAGACCACAAACTGCACACTGTGGTATAGGAGAAGGAAAAGAGCAAAGAAATAACAAAATTCTGAAAACAAATACAAGGAAACCAGGGCAACCAAAAAGGAAACAGACAATGAGAAATTCCAAAAAGAAACCAGACAAGTAGAGAGCATGTTTGTGTGTTCACAATTATTTTCTACAGTATATTTATGGAGGGTACAGGTGCCTTGACAGTTCCATTGTGTATTGTAAAAAGTTTTTTCCACTCTGAACTTTTAAAAAGGTTATCCCTTCTTAAGCTTTTACAACATCTGGCCTAACATTGTGTTTTTAAATGAGAGTTCTTGCTGTATCTCTTGTCACAAAGCAGCAAACTCTGTGACATTGTAAGCAGTATTGTTCTGATATTAGTGTCTGGGAAGTATTATAGAGGCCTAAACTCATGGCTTAACCCCAGCATTTCACATCTGAAAGTTTGTATTACTGGGCAGTGGCTAGGTATCACAGATGTGTGCAGAGCCGTGTTTACACAGTGAGGTTGTAAGTCCCAGTGCAGGGGGACCCCGTCAGCTTTGTGTGCCTACCTCTATATCAGCAGCAATTAGAACAATTTATGTTAAAGATAGGCACTCAACAAATATGTTAAAAAATAAATATTTGCTGAATTTTTTTCTTTTGTTGAGTTTATTGGTACATTTTAGGTATATAGTACAGTTACATTCATCATTGGGATCTTCTACCTTTACATGACAGGTCTTGGTTCTCATTTTTTCCCCTTGTCCCTGCCCTCCCTTCACCCCCTTCTCCCCTCCCCATTTACACTTTATTTCCATTTTTTCATTTTTCTCATATTTTTCCCCTTATTATCTTTCCCCTACCCTTCCCACTTTCACTACACCTTTAGCCCTTTTCTTCCCATTTCACAATGAATATTTGCTGAATTAATGAATGGATTTATAGGAAGAAAATTGGAGTGTGTCTGAAAGAATACCTAAAGCCGTATTTTAACATTCAAGAAGATGAAGTCAGATATAATCGCAAGCGTATCGACCATCAAGGGCTGTTTCATACATATTATTGCCTTTTTTTTTCTTCTGGTGATTGTGGTGATGCTGGGAATTGAACTCAGGACCTTCACACTGAGCTACATCCCTAACCCTTTAAAAAATTTTGTTTGTATTTTGAGTCAAGGTCTCGCCAAGTTGCCTAAGGTGGGCTTAAATTTATGATTCTCCTGCCTCAGCTTTCTAGAGTGCTGGAATTGTAGGTTCACACTACCAAGGCTATAATCCCAGCTTTCTGGGATGGGGAGGCAGGAATATTGCAAATTTGAATCAACCTGAGTCATTTAGCAATTTAGTAAGACCCTGTGTCAACAATAAAAAATAGAAAGAGATGGTGTTGTAGCTTAGTGTAAAAGCTCTGGGCTCAATCCCTAGTGTCATCAGAAATAAAGGAGGAAGGAAGGAAATCTCACATGCATCTTTTTTTTTTTTTTGTACTGGGAATCAAACCTAGGTCCTCATGCTTGCCACTGAGCTACAGCCCCAGCACACATGAATTTTTAACAACTTACTTTATTAACATTTTTATGGTTTGTTTAATGGCTAATTTGTCTATTAAAAATGCTAAATACTAAACGTGAATTGATATTTAATGTGACATTCTTTGAAATACTTCAAACATCTAATTAAATATAAATACAGTTAGTATAAAATATTACTGTCTGGCTTGGGGCAGATCTCTAAGTATCTTGATTTTTAGCAGTTAATAAACTGGGGAGGAGGATTTTAATCAGTAATAGGTTGTTAAACAGTATGTTTGTATTTGTCTTTCTCTTTTGGGAGGAAAATTCTTTCATTAGGATGGAGGAAGAGGATCACTGTTCCTTTCCATATATAGAAATCCATTTTTTATTCTCCTGATATCCTATTTATGATATCCAGTTATTTTTTAAAAAATTAGTTTTAATCAATCGTGGTTAGTTTCTTTCTGATACTCAGATTGTTATTGTTGCAGTCCAGCTATGGGTATTGTTTTTGGCCTAACCTCTTTGTCCTTTGGCACTGATTTTGGTAATCTTAAAAGTATTCTTGCCAGGGATGTAGCTGAGTGGCACTACTCTTGCTTGGCAAGTGCAAGGTCCTAAATTCAATCCCTGGAACCACAAAAAAAAAAAGTATTCTTATTTTGTAACTATATTGAAAGTACTGGAGTGGTTTATTTGTTGTTGCAGTGTGTGTTGGTGTATGTGTTTTTGCTTTGTTTTGTTTCTGTGGTGCTCTGGATCAAACTGATGGCACGTGTACATGCTCCATAAGCCCTCTACCACTAAGCAGCATCCCCAGCCCACTCTATTTTTTTTGAGACAGGTTCTCACTGTGTAGTTCAGGCTGGGCTAGAACTCATGGTGATCCTCCTGCCTCAGCCTCCCGAGTACCCAGCCCACTCTTGTTTATTTTCTTGCTCAAGCACATGGGGTCATCTCCCATCCATGCAGTCCCATTCCTTTCAGTGGGCAGTAGTATTAAAGACCAAAATCTGGGCTCAAGGGAGAGTAGTGGTGATTGGCACAAGTACTGCTATTGCTGTTAAACTAATTTTATAGGTAGGGCATTGTTTTCCTCTTTTTTTTTTTTTACATTTCCTACATAGAAATAGTACATAGATAATGAAGAGATAAGAGAAAAAGTAGAACACACATCTACTCACTTCCCAGCCTTGTCTGTGTAGGCTTCTTTGTTAAATTCCCTTTTTAGCCCTAAAATTAAGTAATCAACATCTTAATTTTTGCTTTTTATTATTCTCTTACTTTTCTTTATAGTTTTTTTAACCAGTTGTATGAATATTCCTAAGCAGTCATTATTTAGGATTGCTTGATTTTAAACTTGCAATAAATGCTGACTTACTGTATGTGTATTTTTCTGTGACTTTTTAAATTTAATATTGTTTTGAGATACATGTTGATGCAGTAGTTCTAGTATTTACCTCTTTTTTAAATATCCTGTTGTATGACTATGCCATAATTTTTGTTTTCCTATATTCTGGTTTCTGGATATTGGAAAAATTCTGCTGTAAGCATTCTTGTACATGTTTCTGTGCAGTGTAACAGGTGAGTGTTTTTGTGAAAAGCTTTTATATTACCCTATAGTAAAATATGTGTTTCATTGTGACTCCAGTATGGATACATATGAAGCTACATACATGTCTAAAACAAAAATTTTACTGAATTGAATATATAATATGATAAAATACAATACTTATTGTGTAATGAGGTAAAATGTAGTACTCCATTCCATCAGTCCTCAGCAAAACCAAAAGAAAATAGACCATAAATCTCCAAAAGAATGAATGAGGTATGTGTTTTCCCTGCATGTGGAGCAGTAAATTGAATCAATTTTATTTAAATATTAATGGGCAGGATAACCCAGTAGCCTTGAGGCCTTTGTGACACCTTGATAACTGATAAGGGTTATATGGTCCCTGATTATATACAACGTAATTTTTTCCTGCTACAGATAGAGTTAATAGGTGAATATAGGGCCGGGGATTTAGCTCAGTGGTTCGGTGGCCTGCCTTGCAAGTGCAAGGACCCGAGTTCAATCCCCAGTACCTAAATAAATAAATAAATAAATAATAGGTGAATATAATTCTGTATGTGACTTTGTATCCAACTTTATTCCTTACCCAGACTTTTGATTCAACACTTGTTCAGGGCTTGAAACTTAATAGGTGTGAGTGATACTTTCTTTTGAGACATCTCTAGCTCTTTTCCACGTTCTCCCAAATCTACAAGTCTGAAATAAAAGCTGTATTATAAGGGCTTTTGTGTCTCCTTTCTGGAAAAACCTTCCATAAGTCATCTTTTATT